GGAAAGCACATCTAAGTGGGGAATCTAAGTCACAGTGGAGGACAGAGAAAGTTTCCTGGAGGAGGGGATGTTTCAACTTCATCTTGAGGAATGATTAGAATTAATTAGAGAAGGTGACAAGACATTCTAGGAAGACAGAACTGAGTACACAAAGACCTGGAGGTGTAAAACAGCACGACCCATGTGGGACTTCAAGTAATGGATATGTAGAGGAGGAGATGAAGTGGACAATCAGGCAAGGATCAACTCCAAGAAAGTTAAGAGATCAATTAGAATACAGACTACCACAAAGGAGTCATACAGGGAGCCATTCAGTACACAAAGACCTGGAGGTGTAAAACAGCACGACCCATGTGGGACTTCAAGTAATGGATATGTAGAGGAGGAGATGAAGTGGACAGTCAGGCAAGGATCAACTCCAAGAAAATTAAGAGATCAATTAGGGTACAGACTACCACAAAGGAATCATACAGGGAGCCATTCAAGAATTATAAGCAGAATAGTATTATCCTCCAATTTCAGGACAGTGCAATATATTTCCACAATGGCAAACATTTTTCAGAGATGATCTCAACCAACTACTGATATATAACATATCACCCCAAAAACTCAGTGTCTTAAAACAATACTTATTTATTCTTGTTTACATGTCTGTGTGTTGACCAGGATTGATCTAGACTGGACTTGGTTGGGCTGCTCTGCTTCAATCTGCAGGTCTGTCTGGTCTCATTTCCTTCCTGTAGGTTGGGCTTGGGTCTTCTCCATGTATGTTCATTCTGGGGCCGAAGCTAAAAGGGAAGCAGATACCTAAGGGACATTCTCATCCTTTTTGAGCAAGTGAGTCTCCAGGGCATGCTTTTCTCATGGCAGTTGCAGAAGCCCAGAAGGCGGCAGAAATTGTGGTTCCCCTTAAGTCCCAGGCTTAGAGTAGGTGCGTAGTAACTTCTACCCACATTCATTGGATAAAGCAAGTCATGTAGCTGAGTCTAGAGTCAATAGACAGGGAAGTCCATTATGCCTTTAGTGGGACAAATTATAAACTCACTTGTAAAGAGTGTGGATAGATGGAGTGGTGAAAACCTGGGGCCAAGAATTTTATCTGCCACAGAGACCATTTTTATTCAGTACTAGAGACTGCATGGTGCAATAGGAAGAGTATTAGCTGTGGAGTTACACAGACTATCACTAAATAGCTCTGTGCCTTTCTCCAAGTTATTTAAATTTTTCTGGCCATCATATTTCTTATGCCTAAAACCTATTTTGATACCTCCCCACCTTACAAGGGATTATAAGAATTGCATGTGATGTTGGGGCTTTGTACTTTGGGCACCAGTGCTAATTCAAATCTTCTGACTGCTAGCTACATCTAGTGTGTTCTGTTTCTACTAGTAAGAACTACGGAAGGGAGATAATGGTTGGATTGTGGTGCTGAAAAGTTACCATATGGAGAGAAAAAACCCAATAGGACCCAGAATACAGCATTACTCCAAGATGTCTATTAACACCCACTCTTCTGGCAACTACAGCTATTTTTCTTTGGGGGAAAGATGTGTCTCCCATAAGAAAGGCCAGTCGTTTGCTAATATGCATTTGATCTGGCAGTTCTTTTTCACATACACTTAATTCCATGGCAGTCTGAATTTTTGGTTCATGGATAAGAGGGGTGTTTAACCCAGAAGGGTCAGGGACAACACTGGGCAGGAAGCACATGGGAGAAGCGCCCCTGGCATTGCTTGAGAGTTTGTTCTCTCTGGGTCTGCCACTTCTGCTCTGTCCAAACAGTCTCTCTTAGCCAAAAAACTATGCCAAATACAATAACCAGAGCGTTCTTATTTATCTTTTCAGATTGAACCCAACCTGCCCAACATCTCACGGCTTTCTGAATCTCAAGTCTCTTGAGTCCCACGTTGCTCCACAATTCCACTTTCCTCCCATCTTCTTGCTCTTCTATTCTCAATAAGCCTTTTCCAGTGGAATTTTCTAGAGAGAATTAAGCTTAAATGCTCTAAGGCTTCCATTATAATTATAAATTAATTTTTCTTCTATGCATCTAGAATAGTATCGCTTTATACCATCCTTGGAATAGTATAGATAAGAATTACTTAAATCGTTTTTTGGAGGGTTTAATTCTCTTACAGGAATCCTAGTTGAGAAAGGCTGCTAGAGTGTTGTTCTTATCATGTGGTAGGAGACGGACCCCAGCACCATATCTCCACATTCCAATATATGGTATGGGGACAGAAGAAGTGGGAGCAGGGAGATTCTTTAAACAATATGACCTGGGAATTGCATGTATTCCTTCTGCTTACACCTGGTTAGCCAAAACATAATTTCATAGCCAAACCTAGTCACAAAGGATATTTGGAAAAGTCATTTCTAGCTTGGCAGCCATATATACACAGCTAAGACTTTTAGATATTTTATTACTAATAGAAAAAAAGATGGAATAAATGGAATAAAAAGATCATAGATATCCAAGATGGCTGATCGCTAACAGCTCAGGATTGTAGCTCCCAATGAAAGCGCAGAGAACGAGAGGACGCCACACTTTCAGGCGAATTTTCGTTGCTCACGGACCAGAAGATTCCCAGTGGAGGAGCCCCATGGGTCACCAGCACTACTCTTGTGGACGGCACAGCGGTTTTGCCGGCGCCTCGGTGCGGCAGCTCTTTGTGCAGAGTAAACGGGAGGAGATTCCCGGGCAGAAGAGCACCATCAGTCTTAAAGCTACTGTTTTGGCCGGCGCAGTGTGTTGCTTGGATTCCAGCACTGGGAATCAATAAACTGGACATCCACTCAGAAACCCAACTAGAAAGGCAGTAATCGTAAAGAGGACAGATGGATAAGTTTATAGCAAAGGGAAGAAACCAGCCTAAAAAGGCTGAGAATACCCAAAATCAGAACCCCTCTCCCTCTACAGGGGATTACAGTTCCTCATCAGCAATGGAACAAGCCCTGATGGAAAAGGACTGCGTGCCATTAATAGAAGTAGGCTTCAGAAGGTGGATAATATGAAACTTCTGGGAGTTAAAAGAACTTGTTCTAACCCAATGTGAAGAAACCAAGAACTTCGAAAAAAGGTTTGATGAAATGCTAACAAGAATAGACAATATAGAGAGGAATAGAAATGAACTAATGGAGTTGAAAAACACAACATGAAAACTTGGCGAAATATGCACAAGTTTGAATAGCCGAATTGATCAAGCAGAAGAAAGGATATCAGAGGTTGAGGACCTACTTAATGAAATAAAACAAGAAGACAAGAATAGAGAAAAAAGGATAAAAAGGAATGAGCAAAGTCTCCAAGAAATATGGGACTATGTGAAAAGACCTAATTTACATTTGATAGGTGTACCTGAATATGATGAAGAGAATGAATCCAAGCTGGAAAATACTCTTCAGGATATTATTCAGGAAAACTTTCCCAATCTAGCAAAGCAGGACAATATTCAACCCCAGGTAATACAGAGAACACCACAAAGATATTCCTCAAGAAGAGCAACCACAAGGCATATAATCGTTAGATTCACCAGGGTTGAAATGAAGGAGAAAATACTAAGGGCAGCCAGAGAGAAAGGTCAGGTTACCCACAAAGGGAAGCCTATTGGACTTACAGCAGATCTCTCAGCAGAAACCCTACAAGCCAGAAGAGAGTGGGGGCCAATATTCAACGTCCTTAAAGAACAGAACTTTCAGCCCAGAATTTCATATCCTGCCAAACTAAGCTTCACAATTGAAGGAAAAAAAAAATCTTTAATGAACAAGCAAGTACTCAGAGATTTTATTATCACCAGGCCTGCTTTACAAGAGCTTCTCAAAGAAGCATTATACATAGAAAGGAACAACCAGTATTAGCCTTTCTAAAAATATACCAAAAAGTAAAGAGCATCAACATATAGTAAAATTTACATCAACGAATGGATAAAATAGCCAGTTAACATCAAATGGCAGTAACCCTAAATTTAAGTCGACTAAATCCCCCAATCAAAAGATACAGCCAAAACTTAATGGTATGCTACATCCAGACCCATTTCACATCCAAAGATACACAAAGACTCAAAACAAAGGGATGGAGAAAGATTTACCAACCAAATGGAGAGCAAAAATAAATAAATAAAAAGCAGGAGTTGCAATTCTCGCATCTGATAAAATAGATTTCAAAGCAACAAAGATATAGTGGTAAAAGGATCAATGCAACAATAAGAGCTAACGATCCTAACACCCAGATACATAAGACCCATAAAGAGATTTAGACTCAACGAGACAGAAAATTAATAAGGATATCCAGGACTTCAACTCAGATCCAGAACAAGTAAACTCAATAAATATTTATAGAGCTCTCCATTTTAAATACACAAAATATACATTCTCCACCATAAATACACAAAATACTGATCGGCCATTATTAATACCCATTTTTAGAATAAAGCTACATTCCCATTCTTTGTCTCTCCCTCTTATTCTTCCTCTTTCTTCCTCTCCTTCACTCCTTTTTCTTTCTTTCCAAAAAAAAAAAAAAGATGGAATAAATGGGAAGATATTTATCAGTCTGCCACATTTGTCTATTATTCACCAGATAGTACTTTTTTTCTTTTCTTAGACAGGGTCTTGCTCTGTTGCCCAGACTAGAGTACAGTGATGCAATCATGTCTCATTGCAGCCTCTGCCTCCTGGGCTCAAATGATCATCCCACCTCAACTCCCAGAGTAGCTGGGACTACAGGCATGCACCATCACGGCTGGCTTTTTAAAATTTTTTGTAGCAACGAGGTTGCATTATGTTTTCCAGGCTGGTCTTGATCTTCTGGGTCCAAGCAATCCTCCTGCCTCAGCCTCCCAAAGTGCTAGTGCCAGCCTCACTAGACAGTACATTTTATAATAGCAGAAATCGTCTCATTCACTAAACACAAATAAGTTGAGTATATTTTTTAGCATAGTATTTATCACATAGAAGACCCTTAATAACATTGATTGAATTCAATCTATTTATACCCCATGCAGGTAATCCAGACAAGTGTCTTGAATTACAGTTTTCAAAAGACTCAGAGGCTAAACACTTTGGTGAGTATGTATGTAACATTTTCTCTTTTTCCTCTTTTCCTCCTCCTCCTTTGTCTCCCCCACACCTTCTTCTTCTAAGGTAATCTTGATTTTTTTTCTGAGCTAAGTTTTCTTTGTTAGTTTTAATTATTGATTATGTTGACTTTTCAAATCTTCAAGATCAATTTGTGGACTTTCACAAACCTGCAGAAGAAAACTCCTGTCCTCAATTGGGACACAAAGGGAACTGTTAAGATATGAAGATTATGTAGAAAAAATGAGTTGATATTTGTAAAAAATAATTTGTTTTTTTTGAGACAGGGTCTTGCTCAATCCCCCAGGCTGTAGTGCAGTGGTACGATCTCGGCTCACTGCAACCTCTGCCTCCTGGGTTCAAGTGATTCTCACACCTCAGCCTCCCTAGTAGCTGGGATTGCAGGTGTCCACCACCACACTTGGCTAATTTTTGTATTTTTAGTGGAGACAGGTTTTCACCATGTTGGCCAGCTGGTCTCAAACTCCTGACCTCAAGTGATCTGCCCACCTGAATCTCCCAAAGTGCTGGGATTATAGGCATGAGACACTCGGCCTGGAAAAAGTACTTTTTTAAATAAAAAGCATTTATAATGGTGCCTGGCACACAATAAATGCTATACAAGCATCATAGAGTTTAGAAGATTAGAGCCAAGCAGTCTGTGCTCTCAGCCTCTACCCATGTCACTCTCATCCTCCCATAACCAAGTACAGATGAACTCCAATTTATGCACCAGTGGCTTTCCAAAAGCTCCCTTGTAAGCTAATGTTTCAAATTATAAATGTGTTTCCCCCGAGAACAGTACTATAGATTGAGTTTGGTTCCTAGGCCAACCTATTTAAGTAGACCAAACCTATTTAACTCACACCATGGCTGATTCAGAACCACTGTGGCTCCAAGACCAGTGTCCCTCTAGGCAGAAGATGGTGGATAGGTTTAATCTCCCAACCCAATTCCAATTGATTACTTGTGGCTGCATGGATCTCTATGTCTGGAGAAGAATTCTGAGGTTGACCTTAGCAGGAGAGCATACTAGAATCAATTAATGATGTCTGAAGGAATGGGAAAAGAAGACCAAAAACCAGATATTTGTCATCTCGACTCCATTTACCTTGTCTCTGAGTACTCCTCAATCTTGAGCCCTGAAGAATGTAGGGAGTAGGGGATGAGGACAGAAGAAAGATACAGAGAGCAGAGAGGGGAGGTACACCCTGACCTAGGCTTCAGTGACAGTATAGGAGGCCCTGATGAAATCAATGGCTGGGGCAGCTCTGATGTGGGGATAAATCTGTTCAGTAGTATGATTAACTTATAAATCAAGTATTCCCATATCAGCAGTACCTGCCAAGCCCTTCCTCATACCCCAGTGATCCATCCACTAGCAAGCAAGGGGAGGTAAGTTATCGATATCTTCTATTACACTGAAATTTAAAGAAGTCAGGCTGAGAATGGTTAAATGACTTGTCACACAGTAAGGCCTAGGACATAGGTCATGAGTTATATATAAATGCAATGTCAGAGTAAAGTGAAAATGAGCATACATAACCCAGCAAGATGATCCCACAAACCACCAGCTTGCATACAGAACTGTTACTAAAGTTTGGGATGGGTGGAGCTTTGATCCATGGTGCTGAGGTTTTCAGAGTGGACATTAGGATGGGAAATAGACTTTGCATGTAGTCTGCTAAGAACTTGTTTCTCAGTGTAAACTGGAAAAAAAAAAAAGTATTTGATGCTAAAAGCAAATCCCAAGCTAGGTCACATTTAAGAGAGTACTGTAGCCCAGCAGGCCCCGAAAATGTCATGTCAGCTTTCGAAGGCATTTCACAGTTGTTGCAACAGCACTGCTGGAAAAAAGCCAGGTGGCTTTAGAAGAAGCTCAGTCCCTTAGACATAGATGACACTGCCAAGAGCAAAATAAAAAAGGGCCATTGCCTGGCTTGGCATCTGGATCCTGCAGCTGCCAAATCATATCCATTAGCCATGCCAAAGTAATCCGTGGAGAAATTCCCAATGAGAGGCCCAGCAAGTCAGAAAATTGCCTATGATCCAGGCAAGCAGTGGGTTCCAGCTCACCAGGTCCGCTGAGATTGTTGGGCAACTTTAAGAAAGTCAGCAGAAAGATTTCAGTTCCTGCCTCTTGTTCATAGATGGGCATTTTTGTGAGTGTATATGCACACATGTGTGCACATACATGTGAGAGAGCGACAGACAGAAAGACAGGGTCGGGGAAGAGAGAGGGGGAAATTGAGAAGGAGAGCGAGATAAAAGCCGTTTTGTAATTCCACTGTATAACAGGAAACTGAGTCACGGGGACTGAAATCCCACCCTGAAGGGAGAAAAGTCACGCCTACCCTGCTAGGGAGGAAAGAAAAAACAAATAAAAACTCCCAAAAGTTGGCCGAGCCGGGCAGAAGCTCTTCTCCCACCCTCACATCTGCCTTGGGCTTTTCTTCTTTTCAGATTGTTGTGAGAAAACAGATGGCTACAGAAGCCTGAATTTTAAATTTATGAATGGAAATTTGAACAGATGTTAGCAATCAAGATGGCATATAAGAATTTTTTTCATACCGTGTTTACAGCCCAGCCTCCCTCACATAAACGGGAGAATGGGCCATAAAAAGGGTAGTTTTTGATCTCAGGGACAGCCTGGATCCAGCGTGGTGATTATGTGGCACAATGGCAGAAATATTGAAAGAACAAAGGGAAAAAACACGAATCAGCTCCCTGCTTACATGCTAAATATTTATCTGCAAAATGCTAAAATGTATCTCGAAGAAAACTATAAATTCATCAGAGTACTTTCTGTTGACTTCAGGAGGTGAAGTACAAGCCCAAGGTTTAACGAGTATCTATGGACAACTAGTTACTTCAATTCTCTTTAGACTTTTCACAGGACATAGGTCATTTGTTTTGTTTTGTTTGGCTGAATGTCCCAAATATATGGGATCCCACCAAATTTCACAGAGAAGTGGAGAAGATCTGATGATGCATGCAATGTTTGGAACTGGGCTATTACTAAGAAGGGTAGTGGTAGTGGGGGTGAGGAGGAGAAGGGGGTGGGGAGATGTCAGGGTATGTGGGGTGGGGATGGCAAAGTGAATCAAACATAATCTAGGTCCTCAGTACAATTAGAACTGAAGGCAAAAGCCGATATCTATCTCTATCTATAGCTGTAGCTATAGCTATAGCTCTCTCTATATATATATATAACAATATAAAGCCAGACAAGGTATAATATTAAAGGCTAAAGGAGTGAAGAAAAAGAAGTAAGGCTGATTGAGAGAATGGATAATGACAGTAGTTCCTGATATCCCGAGAAGAGAAAAGGATTATGGAGTGTGTGGCCATCTGGGAGAAGAAGAGAGGGTCACCCAGGATTTGTTAGCAAATCTTGTTGCTAAGATCTTCAAAAACTAGGGTGGCCATAAAGTCTGAAAACACGGATTATATCATGTTATCAGATATTGTAATGTAATAGCAACAGACCACTTATTATGTATTTACCTGTGCTTCCTGACTTTGAGGCTACCCTGGCTCTCTAGAATCCAACCACTTCACCGTGATTGTCTCTCTCCTTGAGTTCCACAATAGCTTCACTAGTCTCCCTGTTGTGTTTTTGTCCATCTCTTCACCTCCAATCAGCCTATTGTCAACATGGTAATCCAGGCAAAATCACAGCAATCCCTTTGACACACTGCTTTTCAAAAAGAAGTTCCTGCACAAGCAGCAGCCGCTGCACCTAAGAAACTTGTTGGAAATGCACATTCTCAGGTTCCACCCTCGAGTTTCTCAGAATCAGAAATTCCAGGACTGGGGCCCAGAAATTTGTATTTTTATTTTGAGACAGAGTCTTGCTCTGTTGCCAGGTGCCAGGCTGGAGTGCAGTGGCACGATCTTGGCTCACTGCAACCTCTGCCTCCTAGGTTCAAGCAATTCTCCTACCTCAGTCTCCCACGTAGCTGGAACTACAGGTGCGCGCCAGCATGCCGAGCTAATTTTTGTATTTTAGTAGAGACGGGTTTTCACCATGTTGGCCAGGATGGTCTCGATCACTTGACCTTGTGATCCGCTCACCTCGGCTTCCCAAAGTGCTGGGATTACAGGCATAAGCCACCATGCCCCGCCCAGAAATCTGTATTTTAACAAGACCTCCTGATGATTCTGATGCCTGCTGAGGTTTGAGAACCCATTTTAACCATAGGTCAGATCATGTCGCATCTTGGTTCAAAATCCTGCTCCCCAAAGTCATCACAACAACTACAAGGCTGTACAGATGCAATCTGGCCCATGGATACGGCCCTGACTACCCACCACTCTACTCTCCAGCTCACCAGTTCCTTGGCTACACTCTAGGCCTTGGCACTCGCTGTTCCTTCTGCCTGCAATGCTTCCCAGATCCCCCAAGGCCCTGGTTCCCTCCCCCATGCACCATGGCTCAATCCCTCACCAACTTCAGCTCTGCTCACATGTCACCTTTTCACTGACACACATGCATTACTTAATAATGAGGATATGCTCTGAGAAATGCATCATTAGGCAATTCTGTTGTTGTATGAATGGGATAGAGTGAACTTAAATAAACCTAGATGGCATCGCCCGTGATATGCCTAGGCTATATGGTATTGCCTATGACTCCTGGGCTACAGACGTGTAGAGGATGTTACCATACTGAATACTGCAGGCAATTGAAACACAACATTAAGTATTAATGTATCTAAACTTACATAAACTTAGAAAGAGCATAGTAAAAATATGGTAATATAATCTTACAAGCAGTCCATCATTGACACAAACAACGTTATATAGCGCATGACTATATAACTTATTCATTATTGTCTGTCTCTTCCCAGGGACTGGAATTGTGCCTGGAAAAGTGCTCAGAAAGCATTTGAGTAGGAGAATGAATTAACTATCTTTTTTTTCTAAGACAGATTCTCACTCTGTTGCCCAGGCTGGAGTGCTGTGGTGCCTTCATGCCTCACTGCAGCCTCCAACTCTTGGGCTCCAGTGATCCTCCCACCTCAGCCTCCCAAGTAGCTGGAACTATAGGCTCATGACACCATGCCCAGCTAATTTTCTTTAAAAATATTTTTGGAGAGACGGGGTCTCACTATGTTGCCAGGCTGGCATCAACTACTGGGCTCAAGCAATCTTCCCACCTCGGCCTTCCAAAGTGCTAGGATTCCAGGTGTGATTACTGAGGATCTCCCAGAGGCCAGATATAGTGCTATGTTCATCACTTCCCTTACCTCATTGAATCCCACAAGCCAATGTAATGGATATTATTATCTTTATCTTACACATGAAAAAAATTGAGCCAAGTGGAAAAATAAAAAATTAAAAAACGGATAACAGATACTAAAAGCATAAAGGAAAAGGTATCAGAAAAGGAAACGTCATGATCTCTAGGTTCTGGATCTGACATAGAGCCATATTATCTACAGTTTTACCCTCTTTACTGCTTTTCCCTGCAGTTGATCTCGACAGAGGAATTCAAGCATATTCTGGTATTTACTGAAGTAGAAAGTAATTAAGGTTGGCAAAAATCATGCTTTCAATGACGTTGGGACAAAGCTACAAGTGGGAGAATGACTCACTGCTTTATTTGCTGTTTTGTTCCCATTGTGAACAAGATAACAGAGATACTTCCTGATAATCAAATAGTTCTTACTCCTCCATCCAACTACTATATTCTATTTTAAAAACAGTACACATTTTATGTTATTAATGACCAGGTGGAAGAGGATACTTTACCTACCTATTAACTTTCTCCAAAATGTGTCAGTGATGCATTATGGGAATTTTCCTCCTTTGCAAATGAAAGATTGTGTTCTCTGCTAAGCATCTGCCAACATGGCAAACCAGTGCTAAACAGTGAATCAGGTTCATCTAAAAAGATATACTGCTAGAAGGCAGGCCCAGGACCATCCTTCTTCTCTATTTGCAGTAGTCTCCAGACCTGCAATTTCACTTTCCACAGTTTCAGTTACCTGAGGCCAACTGCTGTCCAAAAATATTAAATGGGCCAGGCATGGTGGCTCACATCTGTAATCCCAGCACTTTGAGAGCCCACAGCAGGTGGATCACCTGAGGTCAGGAGTTTGAGACCAGCTGACCAACATGGTGAAACCCCATCTTTATTAAAATTACAAAAATTAGCCAGGCGTGGTGGCAGCCACCTGTAATCCCAGCTACTCAGGAGGCAGAGACAGGAGAATTGCCTGAACCCTGAGGGCAGAGGTTGCAGTGAGCTGAGATCGTGCTATTGCACTCCAGCCTGGGTGACAGACTCTGTCTCAAAAAAAAAAAAAAATTAAATGGAAAATACTGGAAATAAACTATTCCTAAGTTTTTAATTTTATGTAGTTCTGAGTAATGTGTTGAAATCTCCTGTTATTTTTTTGCCTCCCACCTGGGACATAAAGCTTCCCCTTGTCCCATGTCTCCATGATGTAGACACTCCACTGCTTGGTCACTGAGTAGCCGTCTTGGCTACCAGATCAACAGTCACAGTATTGCAGTGCTTGTGCTCAAGTAACTCTTATTTTGCTTACTGGCCCTAAAGTGCAAGAGTAGTGATGCTGGTAATTTAGATATGCCAAAGAGAAGCCATAAAGTGCTTCCTTTAAGTGAAAAGATGAAAGTTGTCAAATTTATAAGGAAAGAGAAAAATTGTATACTGAGGTTGCTAAGATCTAAGGTCAAAATGAATCTTCTCCCTGAGAAATTGTGAACAGTACATTGTTATAATTGTTCTGTTTTATTATTGTTGTTGCTCATATCTTACTGTGCCTAATTTATAAATTAAACTTTATCATATATATGTAAGTGTAGGAAAAAAACCTAGTTTATACAGTTGTTGAAGTCAAATAAAATCAGACATGAATCTCTAAGTTTAAAACATTTAAGTCCAGGCTAGTTGGCTCACACTTGTAATCCCAGCACTTTGGAGGCAGAGGCAGGTGGATCACTTGAGGTCAGAAGTTTCAGACCAGCCTGGGCAGCATGGTGAAACCTTGTCTTTACTAAAAATACAAAAATTAGCCAGGTGTGGTGTTGCATGCCTGTAGTGCAACTCAAGAGGCTGAGGCAGAAGAATCTCTTGAAGCCAGGAGGCAGAGGTTGCAGTGAGCCGAGATCTCATCACGGCACTCCAGCCTGGGTGACAGGATGAGACTCCATCTCAAATAACTAATAAAATAAAATGTTTTATATGAGAAGCAAGAATTGAAATTCAAGGAATGCACCTCAACTGGGTGGTCTTCAATATGTACAAAGAACAAGACAAAGTTGAAGGTTTTATTAAAAGGCGAAATGTTACCTACTACTTTTCAAGAAAGTTCATTCGCAGTAAGGTTTTGGGGAGCTGACAAGCTTTGATTGGTGAGGGACTGTGTTGGGTAAAACTAGTCTTAGAGACATAGCAGCTTGTTTCAGTAGCTGATGATAAAACTAGTTTCGGGTTACAACAGGCAGTTTCAGCAGGCAGTCTTGCAGAGAATTACATTCTTGGAACAATGTCATATGCCATACCTTCTTTTTCTCTCTGGCCCCCTTGACTCTGAATTGGTTGGATATGAAAAAAAATGACCCAATTTGTACGAGCAACTTCACACAGTATAGGGCTAGGTATCTCCATGGTTTTAGCCATCCACTGGGAGTCTTGGAATGTAATGCCTTTGGATAAGGGGGTGCTACTGTACTTAACCTTTGCAAATATTCTCATCTAGTCCCATGGCTTTTAATACCATCTACATGCTGTTCACTCCTGTGTCATCACCAGGGCTCCAGGAAGGAAAACAGAACCCACACCTGGTAGCGCAAAAGAACTTAATACCAGTCAGTGCAAAAATGTTGAAAAAGTTTTAAGGGCAAACTGGAGAGAGAGAGAGAGATGACTCAGAGAATACCAACATCGGGAAGTTGATGCTTCCCTAGGGGTAGAGAAACCAAGGGGAAAGTGGAGTTTTGAGAGTTTAGGAATAGTAGGAGCTAGGGCCATGGAGGAAGGCTTACCTGGTGGGAATTTAACCACAGAGGAGGCAAATTCATGCGAGAGATGTTGCCCAGAGCAGAGAAAGGGGAAAATACTCTGGCTTTTCCTCTCCTGGCAAAAGTACTGCAGTCTTTTGCCAGTGTCTTCTATTGACCAAACTTTCCCAGAGGCCAGTTGGCAAGGAAACTTGGGAAATGTAATTTGCATGGGTCAACCTTGCACATCCCACTCTCCTGGTATCCACTCATCTTCAAGTCATACAGAGTAGAGCAGGAAAGAGCAGGAAATGAATCAGAGTGCCAACAGGTAAATGAACACTAATACTACCCCTAAATCAGTATCTCCAGCTCCAAGAGAGGACGTCTTCTCTGAGCTCAATTCTGACATTTGTTTACCTGACACCTCCACTTGGTTGTCTAATAGTCCACTCTAAGTTAACATGGCCCAATAGAAACCCTTGGTTTACCAACTAATTCCCCTTGGTATTCCTTCTCAGAACATGATTCCTTCTCAGAACACCCACTGCTCAGCCAAAAATGTCAATGTCCTTTTTGATTCTTTTACTTCCTACTTCTTCCAACCTTTTAGCAAGATCTATTGATTCTTCCTCCCCAAACAGTTCCTCTCCACCTCCACTATGACCACCCTAGGCCAAGCCAACGTGATTTCTTCCCTAGTTGACTATAATGATCTCCTAACTGCCCATGCTACCCCCACTGTGTCCACTTATAATGCATTGTTCAGGGATCAGTTCCTGCAGACTTTGAGGGCAAGGGTTAGCAGCAGCGACTTCATTCTAAACTAACTTCTAAACATAAACTAACTTCTATCTTAATGAGATCAGTTTAGCTTCCTTGTGGGAAATAAAATATAAGGGAACAAAAGAGGAAGACCAATTAAGAGGGAACTGCACTTCTCAGACCTCTTTTTTCCACCTCTTCTGTCTCCTCACTCACCAGCTAACTGGTCTTCTCCCTGTTACTCCAACATGTCAAGCTTGTTCCCTCTTCAGGATCTTTTCACAGCTAAAATCATGTTTGTCCTGATTTTAGCACCACTGGCTACACATCAGTCAGACCTTACCCTCTCAGAGGTCTTTGCTGACTTGGCTGTAGTAGTAATGATGGCTGCTCACAAAGATCCTCTCTCTCTCTCCTTCTAGGCACAAAGTAAGATTGTACTTCTTTGCACCCTGGACATGAGATGTGACCATTTGACTTGCTTTGGCAAATTAAGTATGGGTGGAAGCTTTCAGATCCCACTGTGTGTTTCACCCTTTTTCCTTCTTCCACAGTAATAATCAGCAGTGCCTCAGAAAATGAGCCCTCCAGAGAGGATGACAATGATCCAGAACACAGCTCCCCATCCAACCAATGGGACAGAGTGGGAGCAAGAAAGGAATCTCTGCTGTTTTAAGTTGCTGAGACTTTGAGATTGTTACCATAGCAGCTGGCCTCTCCAAACTGTTACAGCCCTTCACTCCCCCCATCAGCCTACATTGTATTGTGTCCATTATGGAAATTACCAACTGATAATTTCCACTTATTTTATTTACTGATTTTATTTCCACTCTGCAACCCACACCAAGTTCATGAAAGTTCCATGTGAGCAGGGTCTTCGTCTGTGTGGTTCACCACTGAACCTTCTGCTTCTTGAATTTTCCAGCGCATAGTCAGTAGGCAAATATTTGTAGATTGAACTTCTGATGGATTGCACATACAAGCACTTGTTTGTGAATGCTATTTTGCCAACAAAACTGGAAGAAATAAATCTTGCACTCAGCATCTCTGAAGCACCAAAGCCTAACATTTCACTCTGCTATTGTGGGCTGGATTGACGGCTTGGGTTTCACCCTTCCAGCTAATTTGCAGGAAGCCAAACTGCTCCCAATGTTGCCACGATTCCATGGTCAGAAAAGGCCTGGCTGGAGATCTTATACAGCAGATAAAGAAAAATAAATGAAACTTTACAACCATGAATTGTTAAGAGTGAAGTCACCCAGAGTTTGGAGACAGAGTGGGACAGAATTGATTTTGGTACTGTTTTTACCTCTGAAAGATGTTGTTTTACCCTTTTAAAATTTTCTTCGCTGACTTAATGTAATTCCCCCTAAATGTCCAAGTCTCAAATTTCACTATTGTCGAAAAATATTAGAACTGAACAAACCTTAGTGATCACTGAATTCAGACTACTCCATTTATCACCTGGCTTAATTTTAATTGGAAACCTCTTAGGGTCTCACTGTTGTCTGTTGGGGGCTTAGAGTTTAGAAATTCACATTAGCGATAGTGTTGCTCAAAGCTGTTGCCTTTTCTGGTACTACCAAGTAGGTTTAAAAATATTCTTTGCTCGACCACCCCCTTATGTATTTGTAATAATGCTATAAAGATCACACTTAAAAGATTAACCCTACAATATTTTTAGGTTTTATATTTTTGCTCACCTAACATCTTTCCTTGATGTTTCAAAATGTCTAAGGTATTAAAGAAGTAAGCGCCTTAAAACTATGAAGTAGGACACAGTAGTTTCTTCAGGGACCCTTGAAGAAGGTAATTTTATTCTACTTAATTAGCTTACTCTCCTAGACCCTAACAGACTAGATCCATAACAAACCAGTGTATTTTGTCCAACTTGCCAAGAAGCGCATTAACAAAAAATTAATTCAATAAATGTTTGATGTCAAACTATCAATTCTCAACATTAAGAGACGGCAATTTTTATAATCTTGTTCAGTTTTATTAAACAGGTCCTAATCCTGAAATTCAGGTACTGTTCACCTGCAGCTAAATCTGAAAACCAAAAAGAAAACCCAGGTGCTATTTCCCCCACGGGCTGAAAATGGGACAGTGTGACTATTTCAAGTCTCTCCAACACAAAGCCGTATTCAATCAAGAAAAATCATTTACATGTGGTTAAGGAAACAGGAAATTTTCACATTGGCTTTCATATTTATATTTTACCAAAATTTTCCTGAACTCAGTAATCATTACTACCACTTTTTATAGTATTATTTACTGCATCTTAAAAAAAAAAAAACTAAGCAGAAAGTGTACAGTTGAAGAAAACTGGATGTCAGTCTACAATGATTTACTTTTGGCATGACAGACTTTATTTTGGCACTTTCACAAATATTTTGCTTTACAGCAGTGACAAAATATTTGCCAGAAATTTTTCTTTTCCTGGCACGGATATTCCAACCAGTTGTTATTCTTTGAATTGAATTTCACTCTTGCTTCGCACAGTTAAGAGGTATACCCGTTCCTACCCTCTGTTACTGAGGGACACTGTGTGGCTTTAGAAGGCGCTATCGTTTCCTTTAGTCACTCTAAAGTGAATTGATTCTATAAGTGATGGGGCAGGAATTTGAGAATTAATTAAGGCCATTAGGACTTAAGTAAACACTGTTCCAAGTGTTGCTTAAAAAAAATTGTTTTTAATGAATTCTGTGGCAATTCCAGGGAATGTTCTCCAAATAAAGTATTCATACTTTATTAAAAGTAAATTGTACGTTGGAAAAGTTGCTGTTTTTACTGTCTTCTTCCTTCTTGGATGGCTCCCAATTTAAAACAAAATTAATAATAAAATAGAAAAAGGAAATGTTTAGTACAGAAAGTACCAGCCAGGGTACCCTCATACCTCCATCTCCTTCCCCAGGCATCACTCTTTTCAACCATTTCAATCCTAAAGCAGTGAGGCCCTCATTTTAACACACAGAGCCTCCCTGCCTATCTTCCTTCCCTGTAAGGTGAGCTACTATAGTCCATTTATAAGTTCTTTAGTTAAGCTTCAGTAGACATTTGGAGCACAATTTCATAGGTAAGTCAATCTATACGCCTAAGCTTTAGATACCAACATCAGGAAAGCCCCCTTCAGATCTTTGGAATTTATAGTCTTAAAAGTTCTTTGCAAAAGCAGGCGTCTGTCTTAATGTTGCCAACAGCTATTCTATAAAGGTTGCAAACTTCAAAATTCCCTGGCAGCTTTCCAATATCTCTACCTAGACATACACAGGATAATACATTCAGATTTCCTCTAGCCAATTCAGAAGTGAATCTGGTAACGAAGAGTCTCATCAACAGGCTCTTTGGTGTTAATTTACAGACACTGTGGAACACTTAGAAATCAAACCCACGTCATCCTTGAGAGCAGACGGCTGTTACAAAGGGGAGATGTACATTTGATCAAAAATGCACAAAATTTATAACAGTGACATTTTCAATATTAGGCCACATGATTTATTCAGTAGTTTTGATGTTCCCAAATTACAATTTATGTCTATTCATAAGACTACAAAAGTTACCATTAGAATTGTCTGTGCTTATAAAATACCAACTTTTTTTAAACTGTTATATATACTCATTAACACCAGTCTGCAACAGGTTACATAGAATCAGAGGCACTTCAAAGGCTTAAAAAGACGTTTACAACTTAAATGCATTTTTAAGAACAAAAATTTGATTTTTCTTTAAACCTCTACTCATACCTTCAAATTGCAAGAAATTAACAAATACAGTGGCCAAAGGAATCTGCAGCAACTTCTTAAAACACTGTTAGCATCTTTGGGTTTGCTGAGGCTTGTCAGTAACTTACATCAAATCCTCCCAAAAGAAGATCTGATTAGACAGATACGACTAAACAGTTTTGTAGTAAGAATCCAATTTTACACATTAATTTGCTGTTGCAAATCTGCCCAAAGCTACAGATAATAAAAAATAAAGCAAGTGTAAAATGGATAGTCTGACACTTAAAAATTTATACAAAGCAGAAGTTAAAGTTTACATATTTGAAAATCACATATACACTAGATTACCATTATCGGAATTTTCCAAAGACAAATTGCACCATGACAGCTACAAAAGGCATAAGGTTTGGTTTTAAGGGCACAAGAAGGGAGGGCAGAGGAGAGGAGGGTGACAACAGATAAATTAACAAAGTAAGACCAACTTGATAAGGTCAATCTGAGACATGCTGACACAAATGAAACAGCTTTCATCTTTGCGTCATAGGAAAAAGACAATCATTTTGTATTTGCGCATAAAAGTTTAAACCAATTCCATGAACATCGAGGGTTTTCATAACATATTTTGCCACTGCTATTCACAGAACACTGCAGATGTTAAATTTTAATTTTATGATGTTCTAAAGAAATACATGAAAAGTTTTAAATACAATGGGATTTTATCATTAAAGTGCCAGAGTGGCTCTTTAATGAAAAAAAAAAAAACAAAAAACAAAAAACAAAGATCTTCGTTATTCTATGCAAAAGCTTTATTTTGAAAAGTTCAGTGATCTCATAAATAGAGACACTAAGTTGGAGTTTTATGCATAAAACTCCTTAGTAGGTGCCTTCTGATAAGCAGCACTGGATGGTTTGCGCTCTCCAAGGTCATAGCTTCCTTCATCCTTCTTTCTCATGCGATACACCAGTAGCAGGATAAGAAAAATTGCAAAGAGAAAGCCAATGACTCCACCAGCAATGACAGCTGAAACAACCAAAAGGAAGATGACTTTAGAAGAGATTCGAGAGCTGCGGACATCAGCTTCGTTGTCAAGCCCAATCTACGTACACTCATACAAGGCTTAATTTGAAAACCCCAACTGAAAAAAAAAAAAACTGGATTCAATGAAGCAAGCAAGTAACTATGTAAATCTGAAACTCCTCAGGAAGGTACAATCATTTCTTTGATTAGCTTTAATAATACCACCCAAAAACCTCAATAAGAAAATCTGGCCATGATCTTAACTAATTCTATACCTGAAAACCACTTTTGTCTTTTCAGTAGTCACATTTCATATTCTAATTTTCTAATTGCTTTTTTAAACGCAAAACATAGTATAATTGACTTAAAATTTGAGTATATATGAAAAAACATGCAAATTTATTTCTATTCTTGCATTCGAGACCATCAAGTGTTCTTAAATCTTGAAAACTTCCCCCTTTAAAATAAAATATTTGCACTTCCATCCAATTAAGTTAAAATAGAAACAACATTCTTAACACCCTGGGGCAGTACTTAAGTGAACTGCCTTCCCGCTAAAGAACTTTTCTTTATTTTGAAATGTAGGATGCCTTAGAGCAAGACTGATGGATTTACCCACTCGGCCATCTCTCTACATCCAGCTGCTCTGGATCAATTCAGATGTTAACTTTCCCTCTTCTAGGCTACCTCCCATCACCTACCTAATGGCTGGCCAAGGGGTAGGTTGAAGGAGCTGGCAGACAATAATGACAATGTTTGCTGAGCCTCTTGCTTCTTTCCCTGGAAGGAAGGGCCCTCAAGACTGCTTCCAGTAGAAAGGTGATAGCAAGCTTTGCTGCACTTTTAAATATCACTCAGACTAACAGAGGCCTATGTAGGCACCCTCCCACCTGACGCTACTCACCTGCTAAGACTTCTGTTCGTTTAAACAGACTGTCTGAGTGTTTCTCAGTATACACATTTGTATCCTCTTCAGCTGGGTCATTTTTCCTTTCTGAGTCAGAGAGGTGACCTTTCTCTTTGTCAGTTTCCTCAGGTGACTGGTATGGGAAACAGGGAAAGATTACATTGATTTAAGAAAATGTGCTGGAAAGAAGAAATAATAGATGAGTATATTCCAAAATTCTTTTTTTTCCCCAAAGAATGAGTTTAGGAAATAAGTGGAATAATCACTTGTGTGATGATTATAGCAATGGGTGAGTGTCATGACGGACACATGTAGTTCACGGTTTTGCATAACACCCATTGCATGATCAGGCGAGACACAGAGCTAGTGGGTTCACAATAATCCTAAGGATATGGTGAGGCTGTTTTAGGGAACATTCTCTAAGATCGCTACTTTTTCACCACTCTTCTGACTTCAGGTCCCCATCTCCCTCCAACTGTGCCAGCCCAAAAGCACTCCCCCAATTCTCCTTACTCCTTCACTTCAGATCTATACAGAGCACTACGACAACAGCTCCTTTTCAGATATTCTCTCATGCCTGACTGAGCTTTTCCTGTCCCCACTCTGTGGGGAACAACCCCCACAGAGCCTTACTCCTAATGCTTCCCCTTAGTCACATTACCTTCAGCAACCCTGGACCAGGACTTCCAGGGACTTGGGTTATCCAAGTGGCTTCTCCCTGACCATACCATACTTCCTTTTTGCACGTTGGCTTCCTCACCTGTCTAATGAATGACACTCAGAGGGTCTCAGACACTCCACAATGCTCAAGTAGAAATCTACAGGAATACCTCTCACAGCCTCATCTCTAGTCAGCATTATTCCCAACAAGCCAGCAGCCTGCAGGACATTAACTGCTGGCTGCACCACCTTTAACTCTACTCGTCAAGTCTAAGTAGTCATTAACTCATTGCTGAATCAGATCAGCCTTCTTTTCTATTCCCATTAATGGTGGCGTATTTGGGGGTGTTCCCAAGCTATCTATTTGGGCACATTTTATATCATATGTTTTCCATGTCACAGCACTGTCAATCTGCCTCCCACCATGCTCTCACACTACATTCTCCATGATATGTTTTCCATGTCACAGCACTGTCATTTGCCTCCCACCATGCTCTCACACTACATTCTCCCCTTAGGCTCTCATTGCCACAGCTTTGTTCAGGTCGCTAGCACATCACACTCCAGCTCCTGTCCTGCATCGACCTCAGAACTGCATGTGTTGGGTAGCTCCCAGTCCTCCCCCAACATGCCACTTATTCCCAGCAGAAAACACTGTGAGGCCATTTCCACCACCTCTTCATTATCAAAAACGATTCTTAACATCTGTGCTACAGTTCAGCAGTCCCCAACCTTTCCATGATGGGAGGGTAGGGGTGGGAATGAAACTATTCCACCTGAGATTCTCATAAGGAGCACAACCTAGATCCCTGGCACGCGCAGTTCACAACAGCGTTTGCGCTCCTAGCTCCTATGAGAATGGGGCGCCTCTGCTGACCCGACAGTAGGCGGAGCTCCATTGGTATTGCTCACTCACTTGCAGCTGTGCTGCCTGATTCCTAGCAGGCCACCAGTACTGGTCCGTGGCCCTGGGGCGGGAGAGGACCCACTGCTCTAGTTCATGCAATTCTATCCCCAGTCCAAATGTTTCACTTCTTTTACTCTGTTTGTACTTAATGAAGCCTTCTCTGATCTTTTACCTCCCTAAACCCCAGAATTATTTACACAGAAATGATGTGTTGCCTTTCTAACTCTCAGCACCATCACTGGCCATCTTATGTGAATCACCCAAGGTTCCACTGATCCACATTAGCTGAAAGGCATTAAAAAATAATAATAATAAAAATACAGGCCTACTACTAGAGGTTCCATTTCAATGGGTCTGGGGTAAGGAAGCTGGCACTGATTTTGATTGCTATTTAAGTTCTCCAGACAACTCCGTAGTTTAAGAACCAGTGGGTTAGAGAAGTCCCATTCAAAGGAGTTGTTCCTTCTCTAACAGTCTGAAGTTCTTGTTGGCCAACACCACTCATGAAAACACTGTCAACTTCAGTTGGGGTTTAAAGACTAAATGTGGCTGGGTGGGGAGCCCAGGGTGACAGGATCATTCGAGATCAGCCTGGAAAACATACTGAGACTTTGTCTCTAAAAAAAATTTTTTTTAATTAGCCAGGCATGGTGCTGCGCACCTGTGGAGGATCTCTCGATCCCAGGAGTTGGAGGCTGCAGTGAGCTCTAATTGTGCCACTGCATTCTAGCCTGGGTGACAGAGTGAGACCCTGTCTCAAAAAAAAAAAAAAAAAAAAAGACTGCAGACAATAATCCTTCTCAGCTCTACTACTCTTCCTAAGTTCCTAAGAGCTTCCTACCCTCTTCATGAGGACTCCACAGAGTCTAACATACCATGGCTCCGCAAAGTAATTGATTGCTTTCCGAAGGCTACAGCTCATCCAAAATGGCAGCCTGCTAGTTAAGTTATGCTGCTTAAAGAGCATAATAAGAAAAGACCTCACCTTCTTGGGTTGTGCAAGTAGCTCCTGTGGGACCCCGACCACATCATACCTCTTTTCTGCACCTTAAGGCCACCCTCATTGCTAGGAAGGGCCATAAGCTAGACCAGGGGGATCCATTTGCACTCTAGGGTATGTAAGATCAATATCCCTGTCAGCAGAACGCTAGGCTTCCACTGAAGGTGGTATGTAATAAAGTATAATAAAGGGTAACTGTCGTTCCCAAGTTGCAAGAAACTCTGTACTACCCTAAACCTCAACTTGCCATGATTTGCAAAAAGCAGAGGTCATAGAGAAATGTTCATTTCACCGGTGCACAATTTGCACGGAAAACATCACTGTCCTCTCTATTACTAAGAGAGAATAAAATCTGATAGGCCTTCCCAGGCCTTCAGGTACCAAAGTAAAGCCAAAGAGGGCAGCTCATTGGCAGTATTTTTCCTGAGTTTTTTTTCTATTCTTCTCATGAAAAGCCCATCATTAATTGGCTGCCTGGTGGAAGGAAAGGTAACAGATCAGAGAATGAATTACCTGGGTTCTAGTCTAGAAACCTTTCTCTGCTCATTAGACTGCTTTGCTATTATAGGTTACAAAAGGGAAGAAAAATCTCAAATAGGTGAATTCTCAGGTATGTGACTAGGGAGAGAGGTATACAAGTTCTGGTGGGAATGAAATGGACACAAATAGTTACTGTCATATGAGAGACTGAGTTTAATGTATCCATAGCCACATCATCTTTGTCCTATTATTATTACGAATCATATGGTTTCACCTGGGATTTTTGAGTCCCTAAGATCATTTAA